TTCCTGTGTCCACTGTGCGCAACATTGTCAAGAAGTTTACAGCCCATGGCATTGTAGCTAATCTCCCTGGATGCGGACAAAAGAGAACAATTGATCAAAGATTGCAAAAGGATTCTTCGAATGGTGCATAAAGACCCTCGATCAACTTCCAGACAAATTCAAGCTGACCTTCAAGCAAAGGGTACAACTGTGTCAGCTCGCACTATACGTCGCCATCTGAATGAAAAGGGACGCTATGGTACCGGTAGGAGACCCAGGAGGACCTCACTGCTGACACAGAAACATAAAGAAAGCTGGATTGGAGTTTGCCAAAACTTACCTGAGGAAGCCAAAATCCTTTTGGGAAAATGTAAGGTGGAAGGACGAAACAAAGTGACAGCATTTTGGTAAACCCCATCATTCTACTGTTTTCAGAAAAAGAAATGAGGCCTTTAAAGAAAAAAATGAATTCCCTGCAGTCAAACATGGTGGAGGTTCACTGATGTTTTAGGTTGCTTTGCTGCTTCAGACACTGGATGTCTTGGCTGTGTGCATGGCATTATGAAATCTGAAGACTACCAAATAATTCTGGGGTGCAATGTAGGGCCCAGTGTCAGAAAGTTGGGTCTGCGTCGAAGGTCATGGGTCTTACAGCAGGACAATGACCCAAATTTCACATCAGAAATGGTTTCAGACAAAGCGCAGACAAAGAGTCCAGATCTGAATCCCATAGAGCACCTGTGGAGAGATCTCAAAATAGCAGTTGGGAAAGGAACCCTTCCAATCTGAGAGACCTGGAGCAGTTGGCGATAGAAGAGTGGTCCAAACTTGCGGTAGAAAGGCGTGAGAAACTCATTGATGGTTGCAGGAAGCGTTTGATTTCAGTTATTTTTTCCAAGGGTTGTGCTACCAAATATTCATTGAGGATGCCAATAATGTTGTCCAGTCCATTTTGGGGGTTTTGCGTGGAATGTGTCAGATTTGGCTTTTTTTTCCCCCTCCACTTTTTTGTGTCATACCAATACAAACAAAAGAAATAAACATAAGAATACCTAAATATTTATATATCATAAGTAGCAGTTAGGTTATCAGGTTCTACTTTCAAAACCAACATGTGCACCAACATCACTGTATATTTTTCAGCCACACTTCAACCATTTTGAACACTTTGTACTCATGTACAAATACTTTAATCAAAGAAGCAATTTTGGATTCCGCGTGTACACTTTTAAAAATGATTTCCCCAAAGTTTCCATAAACTCCGAGCCATTTAGTATTTTAATTACTTTTCTTTACTGATTTCCACTTATGTTTGTTGTTGGATATAATTTACAGATAAATGAAATGATTTTGTGAAGTGTGTCCGCGTTAACATGCTGTTGGATTTATTTTGCTCAGCATTTGGAGTTTTACTTGCTGAAGGGGATTAGGAAACTGAACTAATCTGAAAGCAAGTTTTATGTTATATTCGCATAACAAGTCTTGGGGCACAGAGGGGCCTAATGTATGAAATATTTCAGTACAAACCTGTTACATGTGAAGATCTCAGGGCTGTGAACTGGACTGAACCAACATAGAAATCGCTTTAAACCTTTTGCTTTTTTTAATGCTACTTTAACATGATAATTTTAGGCCTGATAATTGCTCAAACCCCTCAATTATATGTTTTCTAAAAGCAGAGACCCTGTAGAATAAAATGGTGATTGTTGAAATTATTTATGTCATAAGATTGTAGCCCCATCACCTTTTGTGAGGTGGCTACTAGACATTTAGTGATTGCCAGGGCTGTAGTCAGTCTGGCTGGATTAGAGTCGCATTTATCTGGTTAATTACAGGTGTCTGGCATTGACTGTACCCATCTAAGTGGAGTGTGACTCTGCTGTATTGTGGGACAGCCAATGAGAGGCACTGTGAGTTTATGTACAGGACAGCAGCCAATCACTGGGTTTCTCTCAACCAGTGGCGCATGCTGGGATAGGGTACATATACTGGAGGGAATTGCCATGTGCTTAGACTAGTTCGGGACCAGCCATGGATTAACACAGGACTGGGTGCTGTCCAGCCAACCCCCAGGCTAGGCCTAAGGCCTAGGGTTAGGCAGAGCCTGGAGTGTGGGAAGTGTCCCTGGGCCTCAATTATGGAGGAAGCCTGTGCTGTTGCCAGAGAAGGAGAACCAGGAAAGTGGATGGCTACTGAAGATACTCAGAATCTAGAGGACTTCAGAAGCATGGCTGGTGTCTCTCCTGCTGAGGATCTGTACTCATCCCCTGCTCATCTGTCACTCCAATTACTATTCGCTGTACCACAAGTGGATCTACACTGTATTGCTAAAAAGGTTTGGTGAGTCTGGAGTCTATGGCTGTACTACCCTGGATGTCTAGGATTCCTATACCCTCTCTCCCCAGTGTGAAGATGTTAATAAAAGTTATTCAGCATTGCATTACTGGAGTGGACATCAGCTTTGTGGGCAGTAGAAGAGGGTGGTTAATGCTAATGGGGCAGCTGAAGACCAAATCCCCTAGATAACTAGTGATGACCCGGGTTATTTGTGCGGCTCCTTAGGGTGTGAGCGCTACAAGATATTTGCCTGTTTATCAAAACCAAATTTTCCGTACAAAAATGCATTCATTCATTTAATGCATACAAACACAATATAATACCCAATTGTTTGGTAAAATACAAAAGATGGATACCAAACATGCCAAACCTCAAAATTCCATGTGCCCGTAAAACAGTAAAAGACTTTGGTACTCATAAATATGGCTTTAGAAGCCTTTACAAGTCCTAAAGTTAGAGTTAAACTTGAATAACGGCTCTAGAATTATTTCTCTCTCTCTGGAGCACGTGGCAATACCCAACATGTCTGACGCAATCATTACTTTTATACATATGTGCACCCAAAGCATGACTATGCAATTGTATGTGCCAATATGTGGCGGCTTCAAATATTTTTGGGGGTATTTCTTCATTGATTTTTATTTTACTCTTTATTTTACAGTTTAACAAACAGCAATACATAAAGAAAAGTGCACGAGAAGTACAAAACTAGGAGCATATATACTGCCGTCATTTACTTCAGTGTAGAAAATAAACATCTCCCAGTATCCAGTGCAAGAGCAATAGATTAAGGTCAAATGGTTTTTAAGCAAATTCAAATGCTAATGAAATCACTTACAATGGATGCTGCTCCTTAATATTTAAAAGTTTTAGTTTCCTGCAGAATCAGCTGGTCCTCTGAGCACTGGCCCTGATATCCTGTTTCAGGGTTGCTCATTTCCCTTGCAGGGTCCTATGGAGCCACCCTTATGTGTGCTAGTGAGCTGTGTGTGTCTCCAGATACAGACAGACAGAGCAAGGTAAACCATTCCCTTGTTCCCCTCTCCTCCTTAACTCCCTTCTCCGTGCTAGTAGATGGACAGCTGCTGGACACAGTGCTGTCCCCTGTGATATTTTACTCAACAGGAAGTGCAGGTAATCCGAGCTGAGAGAGTTGGAGCAGCTTGTGATGAATATAAGGCTTGGGCAAAAATGTAAAGAAATACTTTGCTGGTCAATATAAATTTGTTTCATCTGGATCTATTATTTAACATAGGCTTGAGAGTTTAATGCTACTGTAAGGACCAGCAGTAGACATGTGCGATTCGTTTCCTTCGGAATCAAAATGCGGATGCATTTTCCAAAATTCGGACATTCGTAAACATCTAAATTTTCAATTGCATTTGCATAATTGGAGCTAGGAGGTGTTAATAACCTGTCCAGGGAGAGCTCCAATTATGCAAATGAAATCAACACCTGGTTGCGACTAACAGATTATGTGGATTGGAGCAACATTCACCATATTTATTCCCAGACAATTTTTGTACAAGTCATTCTAAATTGAGAAAGCTGGTTGGGTGACCAGTGAAACGTCTTCAAGAAAAAAGACAGCAAGTCCAGTTGCCTTGACTTATTTTTTACGGATATAACATGACCTGGATGAATGAGAACCTTCACAGACATACTTACTATGCTCCTCAGCTCCATCTAGTGGCCATAGCGCGGTATTCTCCAGATTTTACCTTCGACTTGTAAAGAAAATAAACCAAGAATGTACATTTTCTGCCTCTATTTGCACAGAATTAACATTTACTTAGTTTTTTAGGTTGAATGGCTCCACAGAATATGATTGGTGTTCCTAATATAAGCCTTAAATTCAGTTTCAATATTCTTTTTTTTTTAACCATAGAAAGAAAAACATTGGACCTAGGACAGTATAATGAATACCCAGGAAAAACACATTTAGCTGCCGTGGTTTTATTGATATTTTGTAGCGTGTTAAGGTCATGAACCGTGGAATATTAATATTCAGAACATCAGCTTGCTTCTCTCGCCGAGTAAACCGCTCATCAGCTATTTGTCATTGTAAAATGTCCATTTGATGTCACCAGGGAATATTACTGGAGTGTTTACCTGCTGATGGAATTTTTCACTCCTCTTCGATTAATCTGAAGGGTAATAAAATCATATTGTTGACACATGTCAGAAACTCAATTAGCAGCTCTCCGTGGGATCGCATCATTTATGTGTATCATGTTTAATGAATATTAAATAAAATCACAGTTAATTTTATGAAAAGAGCGTATTTATTATGTAATGCGCATACAAGCGAAATAATTATTTGCAATATGCAGGTAACACCTAGAAATTAATCTGAATTCAGTTTGGCGGCTATGGGTCGTTCCACTTCGCACACCATGCTAATACACAGTTTATTGGCAGGCCCAGTTAGACATTGGCGTGTTGCTTTAATGCACACATGATGATGCGTTTTTTCATGCATTAACGTCCATTGCATGATGGCAGCCTATTGAATGGATTGGCAATGCACCAAAATGCCTAAATATAGACATGCACTGTTCTTGGCAAAGCAGCACACCAAAGTGCCCAGAAGTGGGTCACCTTAGGCGGTGGTGCACTGTGTGTTGGAATCTAGAAGATATGCTGTCCGCACCTCATTCTGCTTTGGACAACATATCTTTTAGATCAAGGGTGCCAAACTCAATTTCATCGCGGGCCGCATCAGCATTATCATTGCCCTCAAAGAAACGGTTGAATCTGTAAGACTTTATAAATGTATCTATTCTTTATCATATTAAATAATTGGCTCTGCATTTGATTATTACTGGTTTTAGTAATAACTTAATAACTATCCTGAAAGTAGAAGTCTAGGAAAAATAATGGCAATTAGTATAATAGTGCGGACTCTTGGGTAGCTAGCAGCAAGTTATATTGTGGGATGTGTATGTCCTATGGCAGGCTGTAGGGTCTCTCAGGCGTGATATGCGGGGTCTATGGTTGGCTGTGCAGACTCTCAGATGGGCAGTGCGGACTCTCGGGTGGGCGATGCGGGGTCTATGGTGGGATATGAGAGGTCCATGGTGGGCTGTGCAGACTCTCAGGTGGCTGTGCAGGTTCTATGGCGGGCTGTGGGCACTCTATGCTGGGTCTATGCTGGGATGTGCGGATTCTCAGGTGGGCTGTGTGGGGTCTATAGTGGGGTCTATGGTGGGCTGTGCGGACTCTCAGGTGGCTGTGCGGGGGCCTTAGGAGGGCTGTGCGGTCTCCACTAAGGGTCCCGGTCAGTCTTGGCAGATGCGGGCGGCGTGGATCCACATGAAGGAGCAGGAGATTTTCAGCCAGTGCTGTAAACAGACACCATGATAAGTGCAAGGGTCACATGAAATGGCCAGGTAGGCCATTTTGCTGAAATGGAAACTCTACATTTTTTTTGCTAAAGCCGCTTAGGTGGAAAAAAAACACTGCTTTTTTAGAGGGTATTTTTTTGAAAATATGCGTTGGTAGTCAGTGGGAGTGAAATATTCCCTTGTATCTGTGGTCATTGGGGGTAAAATATGCTCCTGTAGTTGTGGCCAAAGGGCAGAAAAATATGCCCTGCTTCAGCGGTCAGTGGGAGTAAAATATACTCCTCTATCTGTGGTCAGTGATGGTAAAATATGCCCCTGCCTCAGTGGCCAGTGGGAGTAAAATATGCCCCTATATCTGTGGTCAAGGGTGGGGGGGAATATGTCCCTACCTAAGTGGTCAGTGGGAGTGAAATATTCCATTGCATCGGTGGTCAGTGGAACTAAAATATGCCTTTGTATCTGTGGTCATTGGGGGTCACTGAAAGTTAAATATTCCATTGTATCTGTCATCATTGGGGGAAAAATATGCTCCTGCCTTGGTCAGTGGGAGTAAATATGCCCCTGCTTATGTAATAAGTAGGGGTAATAAATGGCACTGCATCAATGGCCAGTGAGAAGAATGGTGTCTCAGCATTGGTATCAGCTGGTGGGAAAAATAAAAGCCCCATCCAAGTGTTAATGGGTGTTATAAAGCACCCCCTCTCATTGGTGACCAGTGGTCACTCACCTCTTGAAAGCCCCATGTCCTGTGCCACTCCTTGTTATGCCATCACGGCAAGCACTGTACAAGCATTAACAGGCAGGAGAGCTCTCTGTTCTCTGTGCCAGTAATAGATTGCCATGTGGTGGAGCGCTCTGCACTGTACACAGGCCCTTCAAGTTCTCATTGCAGGGGCCAAATTACCACCAGAGCCCAATAATTAGTTAGAAGAGTTTCACAACCACTGCCACTCCTGCTGCACTGGGAGCTGCTGTCAGATATTACTCGTGATTACAGTGATGTCAGGGGACAACTATTCCGTTTCTTGTATGGATATCACGCAGGACAGGAAGTGAGGAAAAATCTCCCCAATGAAGGCACAGACTGAAAAAAAAATATGAACAGAAATTTAAATCTTCCTCATACTATTAAAAAAAAGACTGGAGTTGGGCTTTAAAGTACAACTAAAGGCAACACTTTTTATAGTTTTGGATTGAATGGAGAGGGTTTTAGAACACTGGTTTATATTGCTGTCTGTTTTCCCTGTTGGAGAGATTCACTCTCTGTATTTCTTCTGGTGAACATTATCACTGAAAGTAAAAGAAAATCCCAAATGTTGGGTTGTCATCAGAATAGGAATAGATGGGAAATCTTCCAGTGGGGACACTAGTTCTGGTGACCCTGCTGCACTCCAGGGATTTCTCTCACACTCGGACTATTACACAGGAAGTGAAGTGAAATCTCCCCAATAGGACACAAATGGCCAAAGAACTGACAACAGGGGTTATAACCCTTCCTCACTTTATCCAAAATGAAAAAAAAAATTGTTTAGTTCTACTTTAACAAGGCATAAAATATATTGTCAGTTTTTAATGCTTTTGGAATTCGCTTTTAATAATTAGTAACTTCATATATATTGGAAAGCTGAAACAAGGTAAAAATTTCCTATCCTGTAATCTGAATCCTTCTTTTATTTCAGATAGCAACACGTGTGCCCTGCAACAAGAGGGTCAGCGGGAGAGGTGGGAGAGGAAGTACATGAAGGGCCGAAGGATATCCCCGCGATCTGTCAGCAAAGAGAGATGGGTAGAAACTTTGGTTGTTGCTGATACCAAAATGATTGAGTATCACGGCAGTGAGAATGTGGAGTCCTATATCTTCACTGTGATGAATATGGTAAGTTCAGTACGTTCAGAGTATAAAATGAAATTATACCAACATGGTTTGATAAGAATATGCTGGAATTTTCTAAAAAGCCTGCCAGTTGACTGCAATTTTCTGAATATCCAGTGAGTGTGGGTCAGTAAGAACCTCTTCCTCTTATGCCGGGGGTGGAAAACTTTTTGTGAAGGGGGGGCAGCCATGTTAACAACAACTAGAGACAACCTCAAAATTTAGGCGCCAGCTGTAATTTTTAAAGAGCATAGGCTACCTGGCTCGTGGGTTTTGTCCAGCCCTGCCTTATGCCATGCTTCCACCGGTCAGGAGTCCATTTTACAAAAGATCCATTCAGTTCTCTGATTCCTGAGCTCATGACTGCCTAGCCCAGATACATATTTGTGTAGCATCACTCTTACAATCCTGGTATGTCCTTTGGGAGTCAGACAATGGCGGTTTCCATTGAAGGCGCTCAGTACTTTGTGACACGCATATGAAGTGCTATATATTGGTTGAAATTAGCCTACGTCATTATCTGCACAGATGTGTAAATGAATGTCTCATTATCTCTTATAGGTCGCAGGACTCTTCCATGATCCAAGCATTGGTAATGCAATTCACATAAAAGTGGTCCGTGTCATCTTACTGGAAGAAGAAGAGGTAATTTGTCCACATTTGAACAGCACAGTAGTTATTCTTCATATAGATATAATAAAGTGGTGGAGCATGAGGTTGTGGCATAATGGAGGTGGGGGATAATATCAGAGCTCCCAACTGCAGTGAAGTCAAAGGACTCGCAAGGACACAAGTGTGCATCTGTTGTTGGAAGAGGCTTCTTGGTGCATAAAGAACTTTTATTTTTACATCCACTTACTGAAAGGTTGTGCCCCTGTGTATATGGAGAACTGTTGCAATTGCTGCATTGTTGGCAATTAAGTTCAACTTTTAAATTGGGCTGAAACCGGGACTCCTCATTTATTGAATTTCTGCTTAATAAGAAAATAATAGTTTATAGTGGGGCTAACAACCAATGTTTATGATGTTGGGAAGAGTTAGACCGCCTGTCATATTTTTTTCCAGTCAATGCCCCCTCTGGGGAGGTTTCCCCTCACTTCCTGTTGATGTGTCACAACAGGAAGTATTAGGGAATGTTGATCTTGTATTTAGACAATTTTGCTTATCCTAGAGTTCAGCTGTAAATATTACCATCATATGCACATACAGTACATGTCTCAATTTTTCTCCTAGGAAGGCTTGAAAATCGTTCACCATGCAGATCAAACCTTGTCAAGTTTCTGCAAATGGCAAAAAAGTATAAATCCAAAGAGTGACTCCCACCCAGCCCATCATGATGTAGCAGTATTACTAACCAGGTATTTCTTTTTTTACACTTTTTATGTTTGATACACAGTAAGGGGAATTTATCAAAACTGGAGCGGACAAAATCTGGAGCAGATATGCATGGCAACCAATCATCTTCTCTCTTTCATTTTCAAATCTTCACTGAACAAAGAGAAGAGAGAAGCTGATTGGTGGTCATGGGCAACTTCTCCAAATCCTGTCTTCTCCAGTTTTGATTTCCCCCAGTATGTTAGTTTACACTTTTGTAAGTGCTTTGTGTGGTGGGGTCTCTTTGCCAATGATGGCACAAGAGTTTTTTAAGTAGAACTGTGGCTAGCCTAAGGACATTGAAATAGATAAGCATTCTTAACAAGCAGTAAATAAACTTTGAAACAAACCCTGAGTTAACTCTTTAGCTGCAGCGACTGTGGAGTAGTTCATTCTATAAGTTTGCAGTTGAAGTTTCTCATTTTTACGGTCCCTCTTCTTTATAATTAATGCACCGCGCTAAACCTCAGTAAAAATGTAAAAATGTCAAAACTCAAGTGTGTAGAGTAATAGTGTGCGAATGTAATCATATCACATATCATTACATGCGGTGTGCAGGCATTTACATGCAGTGGCTGTCACCTGATCATTAACTTGACTGGGTGACAGCTGCTACTTTTAGAACAGTAGAAAGGCATCATGGCACACTCACAAACTAGCATGTAAAACAACTTGTCTCACCACTAAGGACAATGACAGAGGTTTGGATACACGTCTTTTAAACGCCAAACTTTTAAACGCCAAATTAGGGATTCCTACAGCAGGAGAATGCAAGTTCCTGATGCAGGAATCCCTAATCGCATGTAAAGATACAAGTGTGAATGGAGCCTAATACACTCCCCCCAAACACATAAAAAACAATACACTCCCCCCCCCCACACATAAAAATATACTTCTCCTGCACATATAAAATAATCCCCTCCCCCATGCCCCCCATACACATAAAAAAACTCCTCCCCCTGCACTATTAAAATAATACACCGCTCCCCCCATACACATAGAAAAAAAACTACCCATGTACATATAAAATATTACACCCCTCCCCCCCCACACATAACGTCGCGTAAAATGACAGAAAGGAGTCAGTGCATGCTGAAGCGCACAGTGCACAGAAGTCGCCAACTGTCTGCAGAGTCAATAGCTACAGACCTCCACACTTCCTGTCCTTCAGATTGGCACAACAACAGTGCGTAGAGAGCTTCATGGAATGGGTTTCCATGGCCGAGCAGCTGCATCCAAGCCTTACACCACCAAGTGCAATGCAAAGCGTCGGATGCAGTGGTCTAAAGCACACCGCCACTGGATTCTAGAGAAGGAGACGTGTTCTCTGGAGTGACCAATCACGCTTCTCTGTCTGGCAATCTGATGTATGTGTCTGGATTTGGCAGTTGCCAGGAGAACGGTACTTGCCTGACTGCATTGTGCCAAGTGCAAAGTTTGGTGGAGGGGGGATTATGGTGTGGGTTTGTTTTTTTCAGGGGTTGGGCTTGGCCCCTTAGTTCCAGTGAAGGGAACACTTAAGGCATCAGCATACCAAGACATTCTGGACAATTTCATGCTCCCAACTTTGTGGCAACAGTTTGGAGATGGCACCATTCTGTTTCAACATGACTGCGCACCAGTGCACAAAGCAAGCTCCATAAAGACATGGATGAGCGAGTTTGGGGTTGTGGGAACGTAACTGGCCTGCACAGAGTCCTGACCTCAACCCGATAGAACACCTTTGGGATAAAATAGAGCGGAGACTGCGAGCCCGGCCTTCTCGTCCACCATCAGTACCTGACCTCACAAATGGTCAAACATTCCCATAGATACACTCCTAAACCTTGTGGACAGCCTTCCCAGAAGAGTTGAAGCTGTTATCGCTGCAAAAGGCGGGCCAACTCAATATTGAACCCTACAGACTAAGACTGGGATGCCATTAACGTTCATGTGGCAGGCGTCCCAATACTTTTGGCAACATAGTGTATGTTTTATTCTGCATTTAGAGTCCGGCAACATTTTATTTAATATACAGGTGTGCAAATCCAACTTGTTATCTCCCCCTGTGAGATTGGGTTGTTTTATGAGGAGCTTGTGAAAGTAGGTTGCCGCACCTTTGGGAGGTGTTTTGATCAAGGCATAAGCGCAAAGATTTAATCTGCAGAGCAAACGCAAATGATCCTTCATCTTTTTCCTTGAATGTAACACAAGGGACCGTCATTGATTTTTTTTATACCAAGGACTTTGGAATATCATAGCAAGCACACGGAGCTAAATTACTAAATTTAAAAGTACAATTTTCATGGAAGATATCAAACTTTCATTACTGGGTGACAGAATGAATATTCTCTACATTCATCCTGTTATGTACTGGGATGTCCGTCATCAGAATTTGAACACAATAAAGTCCTGCAGCATACTGTAGGCCATACATAATTACATAACTAGGCTGAACAAAGACACATGCCAATCACCAAGTGATAATCTGACTATCTGCTCCTTTACTTGCATCCTTACTTGTCATTTATTACTTTTATTAACATAATTTATTTGTACTCTCTCACTCTCAAAGCTAAGGTGTCAGGTGTTGAATGCGCAGCAAATTTGTGAATGATCAGCATGGAGAACATGGGCTCACCCTTAGGAATCAAGGTGTGGTTGGTTATAAAGTCAAGGATTTGCGGTTTGAAAATGGCCAGTTGTTAAGGGCCAACGGTTGTAAAGTTTGTTGTATTGTGAATACAACAATGTTGTTTAGAGCTGGCAGAGAAAAAGGCTCAATCTGTGAGTTTGCAAGCAAAAGCAGTTCTACTAAAAAATATAGAGGAGCATTTGATGAGGAATACGTGGCAAATCGATGATGCAGCACTGGATATATAAACAAAAAACAGGGGAGTGTTCCAAGTGAGGATCACAGAAAGTGGTTGCTTAAACAGACCGAGACCATTAAATCTTATAAAAATATAAACTTTATTTGTATGATTCAGGAAATCAAGTGAAGGACTTTTTCTCCTTAAAGAGATCCATAAAGAACACGGATATATGGAAGTCCATGACTACATCTTACCTATACAGGAATGTGTCACTTCAATCTATGGTGAATTACAGAGACTTCCTATATTAATCACCAACTGATAGATAGTATCCATTAGGTATTGGGATACGTGTTCAAAGAGTTTTCCAACTTGATCTATCTTGTCCATACTCCAAATCATCGTCTGTCAAGGGGATCAGCACTGATTACTATCAGGTGCTTTACCTGGGAGCATTCCCTCGTTTAGTTTCTGCAGGGATTGAGCTTGGTCTTCAAATTTATCAGTTTAGTACCTTATGTCACCGTCCCCGCACTTGCATATAAAGACACTCCGGTGATCTGATTTACACAAATCAGAAGCTGCTAAAAAAAACCAAAAGTTTTAAGGCTTAAGATAAATGTAATTAAACAATACGGGATTTGCTTTGAAGGAGGCCAGATCTGAGAATCCTTTGAAGAGTTTCAGTAGCATTATGCAACTGATCAGAAGTATTTTGGCTGGAATGTGGGAAATCAGATACAATGCCTAAGTAAAATTAATTCCTTTCAGAACATTAAGTCTGAGATTAAGAAGTTTGACTTTGAACTTTTCAAATAATGTTGGCTAACTTTGTCCATATATAATGAATTCCTCTCTATTCAGGTGTTAATTGGAGTTTCTATTCAGTTATTAAAATAACTGTTGGTCTCCCAAACAGTACCAAAGCCTGGATAAAAACTGAATACATAGAATAAATACATATAAGGCAAGGAAGCTGGTATAATTCTCTCTGTCATGTTGCTCTCTCCTTCTAACAGCATGTTTCTCGTTAGCACATAAACACTGCAGCACAACTGACTGGATCTTTGTGCTGCTTATCCCTCTCCCAGTCTAACCTTTGCTCTTTGTAAGATGCTGAAAACATATCAAATACACGCACTTAAAATGCATGCCCTACGCACACCTTTTTGCTTTTGTATATGTGTACATGAGGCTTTGAACAATTATTATTTATGTTATTATACTTATTTAAAAAAAATACTTTTTAATGTATTTTCGTTTGACAGTTAAGAAGCCCCTTATGTGATAGTGTTGGGCAGGTGACAGGTACTCTATATGGAGACATCAGGTTGTCTCTATAGACAGATGTTTTATGTCCTAATTATCCTTATTTGTATCCACTAATGTCTCCCCTGCCCTCTGCTCCAGCCCATAGATGCGTAATCAGCTATTTACCTATTCACAGCCAGGAATTTTACAGTTTGAACTCAGAAGTGTTCAGTACTCACGTATCACGTACCTGAGGATGAGACCGGAAGACGGGGAGGCGTCTCTTGCCCTGACTCGTGTCCTGCGACCCCTAGAGTTGGGAACAGGAGGACGCAGGGCAACGAGGAGCACAAGTGCCACGGATTGGAGACAGACACTGTACAGGAGACTTCCTGCAGAGAGGTCAGCAGGCCGAGGATCAAACCGGGCGGGCAGCGTAGGAACAAACTCAGGAGCCAGAAGTCGTAGTCGAGGAGGCTGAAGGTCAAATCCTGCTGGGCAGCGAAGCACAAAATCAGCAGACAAGAGCAAATCCAGAGAACAGGCAGAGGTCAGGGACAGACAGCAATCAGAAGTGTAGTCCAGGGCAATCCAAGTCAAACAGGTCATAGGCAAATCGACAGAGGCACAGATCACAGGCAACACAAGATGACAAGACCATCAGCAGTGTGAAGCAGGCAGGCTCATCTTTATATAGTCACCTAATTGAGGCAACTACCTCACTTCTTGTGTGCCATCCGTCCGTGCGTCAGATAAATATTAGCTGCAGCTAGCTATCTGCATCTACAAACAATACTGAGCCGGCTAATGTAACTCTATCTGAAACAGCAAACTCTGGAGCCAAACAGACTCGGGTCTTAAACCTACTGGCCAGTTGTATTTGACTGGGCTTGCCATCGGTGGGGCCCCAGTTCTGCTTGTACAGTTAGTTTAAATAC